ACACCGCAATCGTTGGTGTACTGGGCGTACGCGGAACATATGGCGGCGCCGGTTTCAGTCGGGGACGGATCGAGGCTGGCTAGCGGACAGTGAGTGGGGTGCTGCAGCCAGGTCAGCACGCGGAATCTAAGGGGGGAAGAGTTGCCTTATGTTGTGGTGCTATCCCGCGCTTGGGGGAATTGCAGGGCCCACGATAGTGCCTGCGAGACACACAAAAGAGAGGAGGGTGTATGGCACTCGCTGTGGTAGTAGAGCAGGTCGGCTATCCCGTAGACACATCGTGATGTAGTTGATCGGCCATCATCCTACCCTTGTCCGCATTCGCCATGTGCCTCTGAGTAGCCGTCGTCCCTGCCCTGCTACATCGCATGGTCGGGGGATCTCAGAAATTCGGAGAACTGTGGCGGTTTAAATAGGTTGGACGACGTGCGAGCGTAGTTGGAGTCATATCCTGGCCAGTCACCGCCTTGGTCGTCACCGTCCCAGAAAAATTGGCAGCAAGTAAAACACCGTTCCTAAATATGTCTCAAAAGTCAGTGCCCCGCCTGCTCCGTCAACGGAGAGCTGGCGAATCGGCAGAGATCCCCGCTCATTATACGTTTCACAATCGAATAGACCCACATATTGTTTTCAACACCTCCGTCAACTGTGCATGAGACGCGGGCGTGCCAAGGAAGGGCAGCGTTTAGCTGTTCGCCCGTACTGCCTCCATTACTGCAACATAAGCTGACTGCCGAAGTAAATATACCTGCGGCAAGTTGCGATGAGAGCGCAGAGTAGGATACACACGGTTGCTAGTGAAGATCGTTCTACATCGAATTTCGGGATGTTTGTTGTATAAGACGTAAATTGGGGGCGGCTGAAGGTGTCGTAGAAATTGAGAGACTGCTGTGAAAGACCCAACTCCTCCAGATGCTGATCCTGGATGAAACAAAGGAGAGCTGGCGCATTGGAGTGAAATGATCTGAAATCCATCCGGCGGTGGCTGCCTGCGATTTTGCAAGGGCGAACACTGGTCAATTTCGCGAACAGCTCCACCGGGCTGTAGGCCATATGTTCACCGGAGTCGAAACAGAGAGTCGCAGGCTGAAGACTGCGACATAGGTGGCAACGCGAGGAGAATCACCGAGCATGCTACAGAATCAAATCGGCCGCGTCGAGAAGTACTGTATTTTTTCATCCAATTCGACCGTCACGCGTCACTCCCCCCTTGGTCGATGGCGAACATTGGGATTTTGTCACGCATCACCCACCCTCTGGTCGAACACATTTTGTGTCACGCGGCCCTCGAAATTCCCCAAAATCACGTCTGCGACGTGCAAAATCGAAAATTTTCGTTCGGCGGTTGAAAATTTTGCATGTGTCACGCGAAATTTCGGCCTTGGTCGAATGGTCGAATCGGTAATTTGAGTCACGCGTCACCCCCCTGGTCGGATTGAATGAAAAAATACAGTACAAGCTGGCTTGTTTGTAGAAAGTTTCAGTGCAAGCGAACAGCCTTGTCGTCGACTTGGTGGATAATGGTGTGTCAATGTTGTGTCATATTGTCGAGTGGAAGCGGGATGCGCGCGAGCAAGTCTAACCAAAAGAGGTATATTCGGCGTAGGTGGGCAAGCGACTAAAGGAAGGAGTAGGGGTCGCCAGGTATATAAAGTAGGGTCGGCAGATAGGGGGGTGGATACGATGACAAAGTAGAAAGTGAAACGCATACGCAATGAGCTCTTGTGGTTGTCCTACTCCTGCGCGGCGGCGGCATGCGGCAGCAAGGAGTATATACAAGATTCGTGGGAGTGGAATCCATCGAATCCCACTAATCACTGCCCAGTCGCACTTTTTCGTGCCATACAGTGGGACTGATGTTGAAGAGTGGGACCCGGGTGGCTCTTGCGGCCTGATGGCCTTGATAGTAACAATTACGGTTGAGAGTCGAGGCTCAGGGTGCCGAAAGGATGGGTGTATCATTCCCGAGATGGTACGGATGTGAGTAGGCCGCTTGCGGGAGTCTTATGTACCAAGTACAAGGTCCGCAATTACTCACGCGGCCGTGGACCAAATAAATTCGACACGATCACATGATCATCGCGCGTTGAAGAGCCTTCAATGTGGTGCGCTTCAAGCAAGAATGATCAGTGAATGAGCATTAATATATCATGTCACAAAATTTGTAAAAGTAGGGTAGGCATAACAAGAAGTTCTAAGAGTCTGGAAGTCTAAAATTCATGCCTCCCCAAGAGCCCGACGGGATTTGGTCCTCGGACGAAATCCCTCGATGATGTTGGCTTGGTTGACTTCGGGCTCTCTCGTCCGCTTTTTCCTCGGCAGCTCTATTTCTGGCTCAATGGACAAGGTAGAGGATTCGATGGAGGGCAGTGTCGAAGCTGGCATAGGAAGCGGGGGCAAGCTTTCCATCCGATCAATTCCCGCAGGGTTGAAGTGATTGGTGTCCATGTTGAGATCCCCGCGCAATTCGGGTACGTCGAATTCAGGGTTGAACATCAAAGCATCGTAAGTTGGATCGAACCCATTGAAGCCATCTATTCTGAATTCAGTCCTTGAGGTACTTTCAGATGAATGAAACGGACCAAACATCCCAACATTGTCCTCCATTGTGGTTGAGAACACCTGAGTTGAACTGTGGAAATTGAAGCCTGAATCTGTAATGGAGTTGTCAAATTCTCATCCAAAAGAATTGAAACTCACCAAGGAGTGGGTTGCCCCAACTCGAAGTTGAGACCCCGAGTCCTCGAATTGAGTCATGGAAATCGGTGGTACTGACTGGGTTGAAATTGGAATCACCAAAAATGTGAGTTCCGTCCAGAAATTTTACCCCTAGAGTTTTTAACGCTTAACTCAGATGAAGATCGACCAAATTAGGGTTAATTGAGGGAGGGAACCTTCGGGGGGATCGGGGGGAGTGAGGCGGAACTTTCCTCGCGCTTCAGAACCACAGGAGGAGCCGGGAGCATTGCTGGGAAGTCGTTCTCATCATCAGAATCATCAATTACAATTACCTCGTGGTCATATGGACTCGAGGAACGCGAAGATGGGGCACAGCCTCAGGATGATGGAATAAACGAGGCGCGACTGCTTGGATGAGAGTCCACGAGGGAGAACGGCGAGTGCACTCTGGAAGGCGCGCGGGAGCTCAGAGAAGATGTAGCCCGAGAGGGAGCACGGAAACTGAAGGGAGTAGAGTTGCGTGTGCGATATTCGTCGAAAGACCCATGCGAGGTATTCATATAGGCCTGGAAAGCGATGAGATTGATCCAGGCATCGGTGTTGTCCAAGCTGAAGAACAAATGCCCAAGGAAATCATCACTCAGCATCTTGATCATAATGTCAGTTCATTGTGCGCAATTGGAACTAATTCCGACTTACACAAGCCCGATACGCTCGAATTTGGGTTGGCGTGGCTTTATCAGGATTCCAAAGACAGAGGGAAACATCAGAATTGTCATGCTCGAGGTAGAGCTGGTAACCTCGTGATGTGATCCAACCAGTCGCATTTTCCACAGAGAAAAAAGGATCATGAGTGGGGTCAGCGAGAGCGAATGGAAAGGCCTAAGAGAATATTAGGCGCAGTGCAATCTAGCCGGAAACGAGAACTGGTAAACGACCTGTAGGCCTTGATTTCTCCCTGTAGGATATCTGCCGCAGCATCAAACATGGCAAAAATGTTATGCTTGAGACAGAAGTCAATGAAAGTAATGAACGGGGGCAAGATCATACCTGGGACTGTAATAAATTGGAGAGGTGGATGAAGAGATCGAGGTATTTATGTGGATGAATGACGGGGTGTGGTGGGCACAGAGAAAATTTGGGTACTGGAGAGCGGGAAAGGCAAAAAACACGAAATATTGGTGAGCCTTAATCATACAATATACCGATTTTTATACTCGATTCTCGACAGATGCGGGCCGCTCTCCGACCGGGCATGAGCTCAAAACATATCAGGAGGGTTCACCTTGAGGCTGTTATCTGAAAAAATTAAAACCAGGCCCAGGGCGTGTTGAAGATACAACACCGTGCCCGAGCAAATGAACGACACGCTGCAAGATAGTATGCTGGACCGCCGTTGATATATTGATATATTGATTCAACATGTTTACCTGGAAAGAAAATTTGAATGGCTGAAATGAAAGCTTCACTGTTACCTCAATCCTCGCTGTCCAAATCGTCGGACCGGGAGGGCGGAAACTGTTGGATTGATTCAAGGAGATAAAGATCAAGATCAGTGCGGCAGCTACGTCGGAACGGATATTGATTGCGCATCAATCCCACTATTGATGCATTTACAATCAATCCCACTGTTTCTGGACTCCGAGTCCCACTAATCTGCACGAGTCCCACTGATCAAGGCGCAGAATGGGACAGGGCGAGTCCCACTTCCACGAAACTTGTTACTCCTCGGCAGCAAGCGAGGGTGTGATTGATCTTTGATGTGACTCTAATTCTCGCGGTCGGCCCGAATTGAATCTCCGCCCGGCAATCTCCAGTCTTTCCCGTACGATTTCGATGGCGCTCTCAAGGCGATCTCCTTTCAACATGGTCCACCAGGAGCTCGTCCAGACCATGTTTCAGGCTAAACACAGTAGTAACGACTGCTTGAAGTCCTGTCCGTTTCTTTTTATGTCCCTTGGCGAGGACGGACAATAAAGGGCAGTATACATGCACTTCCCGGCAGATACACCGATTCGGCACAACTCTTGTGAGCATCGATGGAGTATTGGGAGCCCACGGCCCGTTCATAGCGAATTTCACGCCGAGCTCGGGGCTCGACTCCCCGCCGATGCATGCACCAATTGAAAGGTCATCCCTTTCTACCTGCCCTTCCGAGAGCGCACGATGAAGGGCAGTATAAATTCCTCGCACACAACAACCGAATAAATGCACCAAGTATAAGAACGACATCTCTAGTCCCTTATTTTGCATGGACTGTACAAAAGGATCTGCTAACAGAGGGGCAGATAATAACCGCCGGCTCAACACACCAAGTATGCGCATCGGTGGGGTATTGGGAACCTACGGCCAGTCTATGATACGAGTGTAGGCAAGCGTTTCGCCGAGCACGGGGTTCGACTCCCCGCCGATGCATGGTCGGGTGCTGTGAAATTTTCTTTTTTGTTGCGTTCATGTGTGATTTACACACATCGTAGCCTACATAAATGATGTAGGTGACGCCCCCGCCGTCACCCAGCCACCCGACGCGACGCGTTTGAATGGTCATGTTTGGCCCCGACATCCCGGCAATCACCACGTCAATTGAGGCCGAGCATTTTGGTCAGCGTCGGTCTTGCCCCCGCTACCACAATCGCGATGCTTAACTACCTCAAGTGCATGTGTTCCGCACGCCCTTTGATGCCGGGGCCTACAGCGCCTCCGCTACGTCTGGTAAGTCGTCTTTCGAGCCCATATGCAACCCATATGTGGCGGGGAAAAGAAAATTGACAATGGTACCACTCGCTTATCGCCTTGTATATGGATGTATCCAGATGCACCAGTGAGGGAAATCGCGACGTTTTCGTCGGGTGGGACTTCAACTTCCAGCCAGCTTTTTTTTTTGCATGATTACGGGCTGCTTCTGGGGCACGCAACACATCTTCCTCAAGCACTTACCACCCACGGCAAGGGCGGCCTGCGCATTCCCGTCGGCTACACGGGCGGGGGCCCGCTCGGCAAAAACCCCGACTACAAGAGTGTGTGCACGGGCGTGACGAACCACGCGGAGGCCGTAAAGCACAGTCTCCCCGCAGTTAACGTTGCTACGCACTACGCGGCAGAGGAATCCTCCCAGGATTTGCCACGTATAACGGGACTTGATTTGCCTGCTACATTTGCTCGCAATTCTCTTGCGTCGCTCACTCCATCTGTGGCTTTAGTAATATGCTTGGAATGTTGGTAGGAAATGTCACCCTCTTCAAGCCAGCTATTTCGTCAGAAACCCGTTGTGGCTGCATTGGGCTGGCTGTATATTCCAGGTTGCACAAACATGCATGTTGGACGTGCTCAAGTGGCTAGATAATTCACGCCGGAACTTGGCTCCGTCGCACGAATTGAATCTTTTTCATCCATCGTTCCATCCATCCTAATAATAACGTATGTTTTGCCTTCTCTTCTGCGCGGTTATGGAGATGGTTTGGCTCGAACACTCGTTTAAGCAGTTCAAGTCGGAAATAATACTCGTATTTAAGATGCTTCCGCAATGCCCAGGCCAGAGTTTTACGATAAGACTGAATTGAGGCCGGAGTTGGCCAGCGCCCGTGTGAGATGTAAGACATACGCTGACATACCTCTAAAAAACCCGGCATTGAGTCGCGTTGAACAGATTTAGATCGCCTAAGATCTTGACTCTTGGCAGATGCCCCCGCATCGCGCGGGCGATAGTCTTAAACGACAGGCTATTATGTTCGGCGTTGGAGAGTTCCGGTGACGCACGAAATGTAAGACATGTGCTGTTCGAAAATGATTTGAGCACTGTCTCAATTTGCACAACCAGCCGAGCGAGTTGAATCCAGGGGGGGATGCATATCGCCTCACGCGATCTGGATAGATATTCGACCCGTAGGATTGACCAAGAAAAATGAAGTAGATCGTCTCACTGACAATGGCGCCGCTGCTTAGCACTCAACCGCGTGCAGACTCGATACAGACCAATTTGCACGATCAATCTATCGTAGGAACATCTCGGGCTGTTCTCCGGATGTTCAATTTTACGTTTAGTTTCGAGATCCCTCTTGCTCGTCCTCGCGATTGGCTTGCCTGTTTCTGGTATATGCGCACTCCCTCCCGGCTCTTCATCCTCTATGCAGACTGTCTTGGACTTCATGCAGCGGTCCGCCAAAATTTATGCCGCACTCCACGCGCTCCTGAATTCTGAATCGATGTAAGGCACTGATGGTTCTTCCGGAGGCTGAATATTACTGAGTCCAATCCGTCTTGTCTACCTATTTCGGCAGTGGGTTCTATCGCATCTGCCTCCGTGGTCGGCGCATTTCAGTTCAATTCACTCCCTTTCGTTGGGTCTGTCCAAGTTCTCTTCAACTAGACCGCTGGACTATAAGTAGTAAAAAACAGAGCAGAACTTTAACCGTCAGTCAAACACATCATGCACATCGTATCCCTGGCATTCCTTTTTGCCTGGGTCGGTTTGCCCTCGGCAGCCAATATTTCTGCAGCAGTACGTCTCGCACTGGAACCGGTGCATCGCTGACTTTTCGCAGGCACAGAATCTACGCTCCTCGGACACCTGCGGAGACCAAACCACCGCCGTGCCATTCTATCGCAGTTACAACAGCGCCGTAGTCGATCACTTCCATACGACGGACGTCATTCTCGTCAGCGATGCCCTCAACTACTCCGGTTACGCCTTGCAGGCCGTTGCCGGCATGGTGTTCGTCACTCCAGAGGAATCGACCGCGCCCTTCTATCGCCTGTTCAGCATGGCTGATTCCAATAACTTCTACACCATGTCCACAACGGAAAGGGATATCGCCTTGAAGAACGGATACGGCCTCATCACGAGGGATCCTCTCATATATATCTATCCAGCGCAGGTCTGCGGGAGTGTTCCGTTTTATCACCTCTACCATTCGACTACAGGGGATCATCTGTACCCCACCTCGGAAACGGAGAGACTCGCATTTATCTCCACTCAGGGATATCAGGATGTCGACATCGCGGGGTATTTATTGCCTTTGGAGGTCGCCCAGTGCGGGTGAACAAGTGCGTGTTCTCCGATTTCTGACAGATTTCGGCTGAAGAGTGACTTAGGACGCTTGAAGGCACCATCCGTACTGAATTTGCGACCCGCACCGTCGCATTTTTTTTCTCTCTTGACTTTCTGGGTTACGAGTATTACGGGGCGCACGAACAGTTTGTTACGTGAATGATCATGAATTCAATGCCTATCACCGTCGCCTTGAAGCTTCCCGAAATTCCGAAGACTCCGGCATAGGTTTAGTGCTAAAGACATTGGCTCGTCCTGGAAGCATACCCGTGGGTGCTAATTTTTATGGGGTGGAATCTATCCGCCGACAGCGTGGAGAAGGCCAAGAGCCCAGCATCGCGGACGAAAGAGATTCTTCCTGATCCCGACTTCGAAGTTCGCACTGTGTCTCATGCCGAAATACACCTTGCGCAGGCTGCGAGCAACGAGCGTCAGTTGGCTGTAGTGTCTGTCTACGAGAGACGAGCCGAGCACGGGGTTCGACTCCCCCCCGATGTATCAGCTCAAACCTTTGCGCCTTTTTACTCTGGGAGAACACATGGCAATAAGGGCAGTATAAATTTCCTCGCGCCTAACAACCGTCTAAAAGCATCGAGTACGAGCATCGATAGGGTACTGGGAAGCCACGGCCGCCAGTTGTTACTTGTGTGCCCATGACTACCAGGCCGAGCACGGGGTTCGACTTCCCGCCGATGTATAAGTATCAGCTCAAAGCGCTGCGCCTTTTTGCGTCCCTTTACGAGAACACACAATAAGGAGCACCTATGATAACCTACGCGGAACAACGTTTGTGAGCATCGGTGGGGTGTTGGTACCCTACGGCCCCTCCATAATCATGGTCCCAAGGGAATTTCGCGTAGAGCACGGGGTTCGACTCCCCGCCGATGCATAGCAAAGAACACCCGCCCGTTTTTTACGTCTTCGCCAGAACAGCAATGAGGGGCATTTATCATCACCAATACGAGACAACTTTTGTGAGCATCGGTGGGGTATTGGGAACCGACGGCCACCAATTATGTTTATAAGCTTCGACGATCAGGCGGAGCTCGGAGTTCGACTGCATGTGTGCGGAGCAAAATTTAAAACCTTTTTCTCGGCGAGCCTGTACAACAACATTACAGATTTCTGGCGCATAACAATCGGCCAAACGCACCGAGTACGAGCATCGGTGGGGTATGGGAGCCCACGGCCTCTCCATACCCATGGTTGTAGCGCTGGTGCATAGTCCCACTGGAAGGTACTGCCTTTTGCGTCCCGTTGCGAGAGCGCGCGATGAAGGGCAGTATAAATTTCCTCACACATAACAACCGACCAAAACACCGAGTACGAGCATCGGTGGGATATTGGGAACCCACGGCCCCTCCATAACTGTAGTCTCAAGGAAATTTTACGCCGAGCACGGGGTTCGACTCCCCGCCGATGCATGGCTAAGAACACCCGCCCGTTTTTTTACGTCTTCGCCAGAACGCACAATGAGGGGCACTTATCATCACCAATACGAGACAACTCTTGTAAGCACCGGTGGGGTATTGGAAGCCCACGACCTCTCCATTTCCGGTCAGATATCTGGGAATTTTACGCCGAGCACGGGGTTCGACTCCCCGCCGATGCATACGGCCTTCAGCTGGTCTTCCTTTTTTGACGTCCCTTTACGCGAACGAACAATAAGGGGGACTGTGAGTTTCCTCGCACATAGAAACCGACCAAAAGCACCGAGTACGAGCATCGGTGGGGTATTGGGAATGCCCCTCCATACCCACAAGCAGAGTTTCACGTTGAGCACGGGGTTCGACTCCCCGCCGATGCATGGCGGAGTACTGTGATTTCTTTTAGATTCTGTCGCGTCATGTGTGATTTACACATATCTTAGCCGTAGTGAGCGAATAACAGATCCACGCGACGCACCCGCCATCAGTCAGATACCCGACGCGACGCGTTTGGATGGTCGTGTTTGGTCTCGGCAGCCCGGCAATCACCACGTCGATTAGGGCCGAGCATTTTTGTCAGCGTCGGTCTTGCTCCACCCACCACAATCGCGATGCTCAGTCGCCTCAAGTCCATGCTGTTCCGCACGCCCTTTGATGCTACGGCCTACAGTGCCTCCGCTACGTCTGGTACGCAACCCGAGCCCTTATCTGACCCCCCAAAAAGACATTGGTGCCACTCGCTTATCGCGTTGTATATTCAGATGCGCCAGCGACGGAAATCGCGACGTTTGCGTCGGGTGCGCCTTCAATTTCCAGCCAGCTTTCCTTTCTTGCGTAATTTAAACCGAACCTGCAGGCTGCTTCTGGGGCACGCAACACATCTTCCTCAAGCACTTCCCGCCGACGCCCGCGCCGGGCAAGGGCATCCTGCACACCTCCGTCGGCTACACAGGCGGGAACCCGCTCGTCAAGAACCCGGACTACAAGAGCGTGTGCACGGGCGCGACAGACCATGCGGAGGCCGTGCGCATCGAGTTCGATCCAACGATTGTGACATACGCGGAGCTGGTCGGTGCGTCGCGCACCTGCGTGGGAGGGAGCGTACGCGTGCTCACGGCATTGATGTTCTTGTTCAGAATTCTTCTATCGCTCGCACGACCCGACGACGCTCAACCGGCAGGGCAGCGACGCGGGCACGCGTGCGTTCGGTTCCCGCCCTTCCGGTGTCGATACTCACCCGCACTAGAATACCGCTCCGCGATATTCACAAACTCGCCCGCGCAGATGGAGATCGCGCAGCGCGTCACAAAAGAAGTGCAGGCCAGGCGGTTCACGCCCAAGGTGGGCGGCTTTCTCTCCGCTTTCTGTCTCGCGGAGTCGGGTGTGGCTCCGCCGCTTGGCTTACAAAGTGTCTCCGGGCTTACGAGGCGTGGATTCGGCTTACGACGTGTCCCCGCTTACGCGGCGGCGTTTACACTTCCGACCATTCCGGTGGCGTCTTGGTTCTCCGACGCAGCGCTAACCACCCCGCAGAACCGCAAGATCGCGACGGAGCTCACGCCCGCAGGCGAGTGGTGGGACGCCGACACGTACCACCAGCTCTACCTCTTCAAGAACCCCAGCGGGTACCAGTGCCCGACGCACCGCCTACATTGGTAGATGCGCCTGTGTTGAACGGGAGAACGGGAGGGGAGGGAATCGGCGGACGGAAAAGGAGGTTTAATCATATATTATGCTGCGAGCGCTGTACGACGGTACTCAAGTAACTTAATTCTAGTCCCAGGCCTTTTGCCGCACAAAAACAAGCATCGTCGAGCATATGCGTCGGCGGGGAGTCGAACCCCGCCCGCGCTCGGCCTGAATCTGGGAGACAGAGATCGAACAGGGAAGCCATGGGTTCCGATACCCCGACGATGCTTGTACTTGGTGTGTTGGGCTGGATATCGTGTGCGACTAAATTCGCCGTTCCAATTTTGTAACGTACCGTCTCGCAACAGAAAAAAGCACGACTGATTTCATATGCATCGACGGGGAGTCGAACCCCGCGCTCGGCCTGAACCAGGGTGGCAGATACAGAACAGGGAGGCTGCAGGATTCCGATACCCTACCGATGCTGTTCTGGGTGGGTTGGGCTGGTTGTTATATGCAAAGAATTCGTAGGTCTTTTTGTAACGTCCCGCTAAAAAAAAAACATCCGATCCAAGATATCCATGCATCGACGGGGAGTCGAACCCCGTGCTCAGCCTGACTATATTTCTCCAGCCTCGCGCGATCGATGGTCATACTCCGGCCGTGGGTTTCCATTACCCCACGGATGCTCGGCGCATTGCGGTCGCTTACTCTTATGTGCAATGAAATACCCGCAATGATATATATTGCCCGATGCTACAACTACAATCCATAATGTACGAATGGAACCCATCGCTTGAAGGAAATGGTGGGCTCCTCCCGAAGCTTGGCAACAGCAATGTGCAATGCTTCGGCCGCTCTCGTCAGGTCGGGAAGGACTGGAGGGTTCGAATTTGGATCACACTGTTCGAAGAGATGTTTATAAAATGTGTCTGCAATCATGGGACCATCACCGTCGTTCATGGCCCTTGTGCGGGTCAGATCTCAAGCACTGAGAGGAAATGTTAAACTCACCACATCGTCGCTACCACTCCACGAAAGCCGGCAAACAGCAGAGTTGCTGCAAGATGCATGGCTTCATCCGGCATGGTTCGATCGCCCTTCGCCGTCTCGCATGCGCTGAGAAATGCCAGAGACATCGAGTGTTTGACATTCAAATTATCGTCGCCCTCGGGCCTGCGCATGATCTCTGAGACCCTAAGCCGGCCGTCAGAAAGAATGAGACCGCTATCAAGCGGCTGCTTCAATTCTTGAGCTCCATGGCATGCGAAATGTACTATTGAGGATTCGAGTAGATGGCCCAGCGCATTTTGTACTGTGACCGGATCGTCTAGGGTAGTGAGCCATTCGTTCGGTACCCTATCCATAATCATTTTCAGCTCTCGTTGTGCCCCAGGTAAAGCTGGATGATCGGTATAACTTGTCTGAACCACAGCGGTCATTTTGAACGAGGGGGCTGCGTTAGAAGGAGGATCAAGCAACGCAGTGATTGTAGGCGTATAGGATGACACCACGTAATCTGCCACACAATTTGTGCCATCTTCCGCGTATATCCCGGCGGCATGGATTGGAAGGAAGGCAAAGGGGCCGGTCGGACACCACCAGAGTCGAGGAGGATTGTATGACTTCTGCGCAAACCTTTAGCACGGTGAATGATCTGCAAGTTAGATTCTTACCTTCAAATGTAATGCTTCGAATACCGGGAGCACCATGACATTCCAGAGAAGCGCCAAAATGGACCCAAATATCTCATTAGCGTCGACACCGTCCGAACTCTCCCGCTCGGCGAAGAGACGGGTGATTACTGATTCCTTGGAACGTTGGTCATTTTTTATTAAATCTTCGACGGTGACGGAAGTGGAGTTCGACACCAGGCGGATGATGTGTGCAAGGACTTGCACGACGGGCAAAGGGAGCTCCGGCAATGGAACACATTCGACCACGTCTAGAGGAGTGACCACCAGGGCATTAGATGAATCTCGGCCACAATGTAGAATCACTATTGGGCCTTGCAATGCGGCCTCTCGCAATTTCGCCATTCTGTTGGGTTGCATGAAATCTTCAAAGCCCGGGAGCGTTCGAACAGATGTTATGGTGGTAACCCATTCCTGGTTGAGATCTCGATACCGGGAGCCCTCTGCCTCCATTGTTAGGATCTTGAATTGGTCGGTATCGGCGGATAGATGTTTGGTCTCTCGGAAGCCGGCCTGCTCCAATTGAACAGATAATTCCCTCAGTCGTCGAGCAAAGTCGGGCCGAATACTTTCAAGCTCGTTGAGAGGTGTTCGGAGATGCAATGCTTGCGACCAAAACACGGACCGACTAGCCTCCATGAATTCGACAGCAATTTTATACTGATCCAGCCGCACAGCACAGGTGGCAGCACGAGAAGCAAGGCTGGTACTAAAAGGATTGGACAACATCTGCCGGCGAGATGCCAGATTCAAGTGGAGGGCTGCCAACTGGGGAAGAAGATTGATTGCTTCACTATACGCAGCCAGGGACGAGGGATGGTCATGGCTGGTTGCAGTCGCGGCCCAGGCGATGGTGTGGTGAAAGCGGGTAAGTGGAGAGGATGATGAGTATGCTGAGGCCTCCTGGAAAAGTGCAAAGGCATCGTTGGAAGCATGTGCATCTTGGATATATGAAGACAGCTCGGCGAGGCAAACCGCGAGGCTCATTAGGCACGTTCCACGACCTGCGTGTGGGGGCGGACAAAGGGCTACGCCCTCTCTGGATAGTTCTATAGCCTCGTGGAGATCCTTTGAATCTCCCCTCTGTTCGAATCTGGTTTGAAGTGTCCCTGCGAGCGTACTGAGAGAGATGTCGCGTTTCGGGTGAGGGAGCGGACGCCGAGCCAATGCCTCTCGGTGGAGGTCAACTGATTCATCGAGATCCTTTGCATCTCCGGCCTGGTCGAACCTGGCTCTGAGGGACATTGCAAGATTATTCAGAGCTGTGTCCCGATGTGGATCCGATGGTCCACGAAGCATAATTGCTTCCCTCTCGAGTTCAATTACCTCGTCGAGATCTCTTGAGTCTCCCTGATTGTGGAATCTGACTTTAAGCGCAGCTGCCAGATTACTGAGAGAGATGCTGCGAGTTGGATGTGGGGGCGGATGAAGTTTGAGAGCCTCTCGGTGCAGATCAATTGCTTCCCTGAGGTCCTTGGGATCACCTCGTTCGCGGAACCTGGCTACCATAGCAGCTGCCAAATTGTTTAGAGAGTTATCACGATGTAAATGAGGGGGTGGACGAAGCGCCAGGCCTTCCCGGTAGAATCCAATCGTCTCATCGAGGTCCTTGGGATTTCCCTGGCGATCGAACCGGGTTTGAAGCGCGTCCCCTAAGTTGTTGAGAGCCATGCTGCGATCCGGATCCGAGGGCGCACGAAGAGCCAATGCTTCTCTATAGATGGCAATTGAATCCTCGAGGTCCCTTATATCTCCCCGGTGCTGGAACCGGGCTAGAATTGCCAATCCCAGATTGTTGAGAGAAGTGCTGCGATGTGGATGCAGCGGTCCACGAAGCGCCAGTGCGTGACTATGGATGCGGATCACCTCATCAAGATCCTTTCCATCCCCCCAATGAAAAAACCTTGTTCTTATCGCCTCCCCAAGATCGTTCAGAGACATGCTGCGATCTAGATCTGACGCTGCACGACGAGCGTCGAGGGCCTCCCTGTGGAGGTCAATCGACTCCTCGAGATCCTGTCGATCTCCCTGCAGATTGAACCGCCTTTTAAGGAAATTTGCCAGGGCGTCGAGACAGCTGACACGGGATTTATCCGGTGTGGGCCGAAGAGTCAACACCTGGCGTTGCAGTGCAATCACTTCGTCCAGATCTTTTGCATCCTGCCGCTGGTCGAACCGGATTTGGACCATCTGCGCTAGATGAGTCAGGCCACCATCGCGATGTGGATGAGTATCCTGAGCCATGGCTTCCCGGCACAGCATAATCGCCTCGTCCAAGTCATTTGTGTCTCCCAGTTTCTCGAATCTGGTTTCGAGCGTCCATCCTAGATTGTCCAGAACCATGGTGCGAGATGGATCTGGTTGACACAGAGCCAACACTTGTCTCTGCAGTTCAATCGCATGATCGATATCCTGCTTGTTCCCTCGCTCTTCGAACCTGGTTTGAGTCGCGCGCGCAAGGTGGCTGAGGGAACTGTCACGATTTGGATGAGCAGGTGGTTGACGCGCGACGGCTTCGGTGTGGCATTCAATCCCCTCGTCCAGGTCCTTTGGATCCCCTCGGAGTTTGAACCTGGTTTCGAGCGCCCATCCCAAATTGTTGAGACCCACGCTCCGATGCGGATGCTGTAGAGGAAGAGCAGCGATCACCCTCCTGTGGATTTCAATCGCCTCATCGAGGTCCTGTGGATCTCCCCTCTGGTCAAATCTGGTTTGGACCGCAACCGCGAGATTATTGAGGTCTATCGTGTGAGTTGGATCTGATGGCGGATGGAGAGCCAAGGCAGCTCTATGTCGTTCAATCCCTTCGTCGACATCGCTCGAATATCCGCTGCTTCGATCCACCCATCCCACCTCTGCGTCTGAGGGAGGTTCTGTGTCGGACGGTTGAGGGGTGGTTGTATCAGTCTGAGAAACAACGTGTCAGATAACTTTTTTCAAGGCGGCATACAAGATTCGGACTGTTTGCAAGGACATTATACTGCCAGCTACACAGGAGTGAGTTGTCGCACCGTCGGAGGTGACGAATCCGTACCGGGAGAATAGTCGTGGTGTGGTGGGGAGTTATCAAAGCCTGCTGAGTTCTGAATATATATATATGTGGACCCGAAAGGCCCGTCGGAGAACCTCGTAATCCCCGAGCCCCACCGCGACATCTTCCATTGATGACAATAATGACATTATTAATGATATTCGGCTGATGAGCGCTGAGCCGTAGCCTAGGTCCGATCGCGGGTTCGCAATACCTCATCGACGCTCGTACTTGATGCACTGAGCCACTGAGTTTGTGGAAGGAAAACTGCGGCGTTCTCTGCTGTGCAGCCTGCAGCGGGACGCGCACAATATGAAAACTGGGTGACACGCGTCCCCGGGAAGCCAACCCAAATCCCACGCTTACCGGGGCCAATTGTGCTCCATTCGGGGCATCCCGAATATATGGTTTTGCACCCGGCACATGTACCGCTACGAGTCCTACGAATGCGAATATATTAAGCATAAAATAGCTATCCATGCACAGCGCCGATAAAAACCAAGCGTGGATTAGATTAGTACCTGATCGATGATCAGCGCTGCGTTACAGACGAAGGAGACACGCAGCAGGGAGCTTACGGCTACGATGACCACGGCGCACACCACGCCAAGTATGATCGTCAAACACGTCCGCCGCGCACGCCGCTGTCGGCGGGCAGCGGTTTCGAGCGCCCGCGCGCCGCGCTCGAGATCGCTTGCCGTGCGCTCGGTATTGTCCCCTACGATATCTGCGCGGTGGTGGGTTAGCGCATCTTGGATGT